GCCTCTGAATAGTTAAGCAATATACCAGCTCTTAATGGTTCAGACCTCTTACTGGTTCAGCACTTAATGATTCAGACCTCTTACTGGTTCAGCACTTACCCATTCAGAAGTTGCCAAACAGCCCCTTAGTATAGCCTCTATAATTGAGAACGTGGCCGTGGACTGATATATAAACGGAGTAGAGGGTATACATACTGCAAATTAATTTAGAATTTATATACTCCATCCATCCCTAAATATTTGACACACTTGCATTCTCGAGGTAAAATATCAAGTTTTTTTAATTCTTTTTGTTTACATATTGATATAGAAATAGAAAATAAAATTTACATATCAAAAAACTACATGAAAAGTTATTCGAAATAAAAGGTGTCAAGAATATTTTATTTTATCAAATAACCAATAAAAACGTAGAAATAAAAAAAGTTACTACAACTACTGAAAAAGTAAATGTTGTAAATATTTTGAGACGGAGAAAGTATTGCGCATATTAAAAAAGTCAACGCTTTGGCGAAGAAAATAGTGACGACGGGTACAACGTCACCTTCCAGCACCATGTCCAAACCCTACATCGGACCACCCACTGGGCGTATCCAAATCCAAATCCAAATCCAAAACCCACCCCTCTCATCTTTTGTTCCATTCCTTTCAGTATATATACTCTTATTTGCTCATTAACATAATTTCAAAGTAATGTTTAAAAAACGATAAAATCAAATCTCTTGCTATATACTCACTTCGTCCCAAAAAGATTTACACGTTTTGATTAAAGTTAAAATTAAGGGAAGGATAATTTTGTGTTGACTTTCCAAAAATATCCTTGACGTAATGAGTAAAAGTAGGATGTGATGTGTAGATTATTAAGAAAAAAAGTATGATGTGATAGGTTGAGTTTGAAAAAGTAAGGGATAAAAGTGGTTTTTTAATAGAAATGGGTAGAAGATTGTGGGATAAATTTTTTTGAAAGGTGTAAATCTTTTTGGGTTTAGCTTTCAGATATACTCCGCACTTAATTAACTAATTTTCATACTCCCTCCGTTCCACAAAATTCTTCTTCTTTCGTTTTTTTTGTTTTCCACAAACACTTCCACTTTCCATTAAAAAACCACTTTTACCCCTACTTTTTCATACCTTACCTATCACATCATACTTTTTCACTAATAACCAAACTATCACATCTTACTTTTTTCCATCACATCAGGGGCAAAATTGGAAAGTTAACTAAAATTTTACTTTCATTATTTTTTCCCAAAATCAAAACCGGAAGGGTTTTGTGGAATGGAGGGAGTATGAAATAACTCAACAAAAAAAGCTCGCTCGCATTTATGTTACGAGGCATGATAAATTAAAAAAATAAAAAAAACTTGATCGAATTTTTCGTGGATGTTGTTAATTAATACTAGCAAACATCTCAAAAGGCTAAATTTTATCGTTAATCTTTGAAATTAATGCATTATACACGACTAATTTTTTTAAACATTAAAAAGTTTATAAAAAGTCTTTCAGGTCACATTAGTGTAGAAATCTTTTTTTAACAATTAACCATATTTCATGCAAGACTTTTTCAAAAAATAATAAGTTATTCGTAATTTTATTAGTTCACTTTTTAAATACTCTCTCCGTCCCTAAATAAACTTCCTTTTTTGACTTTTTGAGGATTTAAGGGGAGATATTTTTGTGTTGACTTTCCAAAAATACCCTTGATGTGATATGTAGATTATTAGTAAAAAGGTATTATGTGATATGTAGGGTATGAAAAAGTAAAGGGTATAAGGGGTTTTTTAAGAGAAAAGAGAAGTTTATTTGAGGACAAAAAAAAACGAAAAAGGAAGTTTATTTAGGGATGGAGGGAGTAATAATGAATCATTTTTGCTTTTATTGGTGTAATTTTATTTAATACTCGCTCCATCCTAAAGTGTGTCAAATTTTGTATTTTCGTAAAAATAGAGTGTGTATTTTTTCCTAATACATTTTTTATTGAAATTATATGTGAGAGATTAAGTTATACTTCATCCATCCCGCAAAACGGTTATATATTTTAATTTCTTTTTCGTCTATTCCAAAATAAGCTAAGGTTTCACTTCCCGCTTTTGGAAAGTGAAATTTGCAGTGAATAGGACTAAAACATAAGTCATTTCCCAATGTAGGACTTAAACTTTTTTAATTCTCTAAATAGGACTTAATAATGTTTAGTGAGAAGAATAATGTTCAAGTAATGTTGGACATTTACTTGAATAATGACTAATAGATAATAACAAATGGTCCTATATTGAGAAAGTCATTATAGGTAATTTACCCGATGGAAAAAAGTTTGTGGCATTTATAAATTCTCTTTCTTCTACATCAATTTCAATTTCCTTACTTCATCCATCCTTTGATTATATTTATTTCCAATTCAATTTAGTTATGAATTTTCACGTAATCATTTTTAAAAAATTACATATATCAAAATCACATAACCGACATAAGACAGTGTTTGGGAACTACCATTTCATTTCAATCCATGCATTTGAATTCCAAATTTTGAAATTTTGAATTTTAAATGACAAGGGGAGGTGCATAGATTTCAAATTAAGCTCATAGATTTCAAATTAAGCTTTGTTATGAGTGAGAGGAATTTAACACAAATCTAAATTCAAAATTTTTAAGTTTTCTAAACATGGAATTTGAACCAAATCCGGATTTGAAATCCAAATCCATGTTCCCAAACATACCATAAAGAAATTTCAAAACTAGAAATTATATTATGATTATGTTTTAAGTGAATAAACAGAAAAAGATGAAAATAAAACCGAAATACCCAAACCGGCGATTTAAATACAATAAAATCAGAACCGGATCCGTATCCAGTAATGCCACGAAAGGTTCCTATATCCTTATTCCACCTATCCGCCACAAAAGTCATGGTTCTAGTTTCGGAACTGACAGTCTTAATTCAGAACCGAAACCGTGTCCAGGTCTAGGTTTATCTTTTTTTGGACCATGCTCCACTTGTTGATCAATTCTTAAACATAAAATATAAACCAGGGATTTAATCATGTGTACCTAATAATGCTGTAAACGTAGTTAGGGATGAGGTCATGATTCTCACGCATATTGAGTTCCCGTTTAGGGTGTATCATTATGATGGCTAAGGTGAGGATGAGACTCACGAGAATAGAGAGGCAGAGAGGGGGCATAAGATTGGTGTGTTCTGATCTCTGCCAAATGACCTCTATATATATACACCCAAGGGGACAACTTAATTAGGTCGTAAGGGTAATTACGTCCATCATACCGAATAATCACCAATTAAATACGTAGGATATTTATTAGGTCAATGATCAATTAATTAGATAAATGATAACTCAAGCCACGTAATAAAATCGTGTCCTACACCACTTACACCAAAAATTGTACTCCAAACTTACACCAAAGGTATACACCAACATTTTGATGGTTCACACTGACACAAAGTATTGGTGCGTTAACAAAAATTTACACTGACACAAAATGTTGGTGCGTTAATAACAAAAATTAGTATTACATCGACACAAAATGTTGATGCACACCTACAGTGTACAAATGGAATACAAATTCTTGAGATACAAATAGCTTTATCGTTTTTGTTAAGAAAGCAATACATATAGTGTTCATTTGAGATGAATGAATAATTTGGTCATTCTCTCCACTATTCACTAATATAATCTCCCTACATCTCTCTCTCTTCCTGTTAAGGACTTTCTTCCTTATCTACTAACTTCGCCCCAAAACAGTACCCCATGCACACAAATGATGATACTCCTCCTTGCGGCAACTGGCCGCCGCCGTCTCCTGAGCACGAAGGCGGCCACCGCCACGTTGCGTTGCCGGCAACCGTGCTCGCAGCAGCGGGGCCGGAATTGCTCTCCGCTGTCCCACCGCAGCCGCTCCCCGCCTGCCGTGACCGGCTGAGGTGGGAGATCGGTGCGGGTTGTAGCAGCGGCGGCGAATGCAACAACAGTTACGGCGGCGGCTCTCCTACCGCCGGTTCATCCCCCGCTAGCGGCCGCTACGGGGTAACCGGTTTCCAGGAGGGTGGCGGGAGATGCCAGAAGAGGCCGGATGCATACCCCCCGCCGGCCGGGTTTCTTGAACCGGATTGTGGTCCGGCTGGCCAGCTTTTCAGCTCAGGTGATTTACAGGTACGTAGCATATAGTATTTTTTTGGAGATCTTACTTCGTTATTATATTAGGGGTTACATAAAAAAAGGGTGTTTAAGTCTTTTTAAAAAATTAGTAAAAGTATTTATAAATAGTTACGGAGTATAATTAAATAAAATTATAGTCCGATCCATTTGTTCAATTAATTTCATAATTGATTTTTAGTCTCACTGTTCTCAATATAGCATTTACAAAAATTGATTTCGATAACTTGAGTTAAAATAAATTGATTCAAAAAAAATTAAATAAATAAAAAAAATCACACTTTTCATTTGTTGGCCTAAAATAAAATTATCTTTATTTTATTTTTGTAAGAACATTAGAAATATACTCCATATGTGTTTCACACTCTTTTTTAAATCTAAATAAGGTTTAATTGTATTATCTACACTTTCCTTTCTTCCAAACCATTTTTAATAGAATATGTGACTCAAATCAAAATCATTTTTCTCTAAATAATTTTATATGCTCCATATTCCTCAACATTTTTTTTTATTTTTTAAAAGAAAAACTTGAAGTGTATTTTGGGAAAGGGAAGTAGAAATATAAAAGCCTAAATCTAATACTATAATTTTATAGTATCTTTTTTAATCTGTTTCGATATAAATTTTATTTTTCGTTTTTTCTCACTCCTTTTAGAGTCATTGTTTCATGGAATACGAAAGAAAAGTGAAAGGAAATGGTAAAGAAAACCAGTTTAACTTTAGTGTTTGGTTAGAAAAAATCATAAGAAAATAAAAAGTGAATAAAATGTAGAGTAAAAATGTACTCCAAATGATTTGTTTTCAATTTTTGTGATAGAAAAAGAGAAAATTAAATGAATTATTGAAAATTAATAATTTTCCATCATAAATGAATACTTCGTTTTCTTTACAACATCCAAATAAATGAACTATTGAAAAATAATAATTTTCCATCAATTTGCTTTTGACTTTTTTTGGTCAAAATTGGTAAACTTTGACCTCTAATTAAATAAAAATGATAATAAATATTGATATAAAAATAGTTTTATTAAATTCATAGTATAAAATATTTTTAAAATATTATTTTATCTAATTAATATAAAATATATATTTTATTTAATTATAGGTCAAACAAATTCAAGCAATACATATTAATTTTTCAATAGTTTTTTTAACTAATGTTGAGTGATATCCCACATCGGATGTTCAAAAAAAAAATAATCGGTATATAAGCTCTTTGCATTAACTAATCGATTGGATTCAATCTTTTAATGTGGTTCGACCCAAGTGTCTTATAGCTCAATCCAGTTATCACTATCAGATCCTAAATTTATCAACTAACAAAATCTACATATCAAATTTGGGGCAGGTGAATTAATTTTGAAAGTGCAAAATTTTACTCCCTTCGTTCCTTTAAACCCTTCTACTTTTGACTTTGGGCAAAAATAAGAAAAGTGTAATTTTGGTTGACTTTCTAATTTTGCCCTTGATGTTATGGGTAAAAGTAAGATCTGATAGTTTGGTTATTAGAGAAAAAGTATGATGTGATAGATAGGTATGAAAAAGTAAGGGTAAAAGTGGTTTTTTTAATAGAAAGTGGAAGTGTTTTAGGGAATCCAAAAAAAACGAAAGGAGAAGGGTTTTGTGGAACGGATAGAGTACAAATTAATAAGTACAAACAAACCCTAATTAACAATTTTAAAGAACCATTACAATTCAATAACAAAGACTAATCAATCAAATATACTAAAAGTTGTATACTTTTAACAAGAAAGTACCCAAGCCAAAATGAATCACAAATGATCAAGCAGTAATGCTAGGGGTAGACTGAAAGTATTTTCTATTTGTACATCATCACTTTTTTCACTACACATTTCTTATCTATTTTGTAATATTTTTATTCACACCCAAATTTGAATAGTGGAGAGAGTGTGGTGTACACTTGGATTAGAGACACTTTAGCTACATCCTTAACATTTTTTGTCACAAATACTTCAAGTCTACACGTGTGACTAAATTAACACCCTATTTAGATGAAGTCTATGTATTTTAATAGATTAAGAACATATGAACACATCGATCTTATATTATAATGAAGTCATTAGTGTTAAAAATGACTCTCTTTGTCCCATTTCTCATTTTGGACTTTTGTAGTCAAAATTTTTAAACTTGATCATGAATTACAGAATAAATACATTGAATTATAATATAAATTTATTATCAAGATATTCATTTTGAAACATAGTGTTTAAACATCATATCTCTTTCTTGTCGTAAAACTTTTCAACTTTCACATCTTACTTGTCTCATAAAACATTTTAATTTGTCTAAATGGACACAATTGCTCTTACTTTTCTTAAATTTAACCGAACCTACCTCAAATATTTTCTACGCCCGACCTATTTTGACATTTTCGAGCCCTACTCATTTTCTTTCAATTATCGTCGTTTCACCTTCGTCAAATTTTTAGAACTTCCCTTCCCAAAAGTAGTCAAAATATGAGTGACAATTAACAACAAACTTCTTAATTATGACGAGATTAAACTAACACCTCATGAGTATATATCTACCTCTAAACTGAGAATGGTTATTAGCATCACTTTATAGACCACTTATTTAGAATGATGATATAATGAAATAATGAGTCACTTCACTTTAGTTCAGTGCTGCCCAGTAATGATATATTCTCCCATCTCTCTCCCAATACTAAGAAATCTGTTGTGCTAGGGATACAATCATGTTTTTGTAAATCATGTTTTGATTTGTAGTGACACAAAATGTATACTCCCTCCGTCCTTAATTTGATTATAAATTGTGGGTTACGAAGTAAAATTTTCTATTTTTTGAAATCATTTATACAAATTGGTATATCAATAAGATATAAAAATTACATACTCCCTCCGTTTCTTAAAACCCTTCCTCTTTCATTTTTTTTGTTTTTCTTAAAACAATTCCCCTTTCTATTAAAAAACCACTTTTACCCCTACTTTTGCATACCCTACCTATCACATCATACTTTTTCACTAACAACTAAACTATCACATCTTACTTTTACCCATCACATCAAGGGTAAAATTGGAAAGTCAACTACAATTTAACACTTCCTTATTTTTCCCCAAAGTCAAAAGAGGAACTCTTTTGAGAAACGGAGGTAGTATTAAAAAACTACGTCAAAAGTTCTACAAAACAAGAGGTGACAAAAATATTTTATTTTATTAAATACTTAATGAAATCGCGTAAACAAGCGAAGTTATCGAGAGGAGAGAGAAAAAAATTGTAATTTATTTAGGGACGGAGTAAGTATGTTGCGCACCTATTTTGTGCCAGTTTATTGCATGGGTGTGCAAATACTCCGTACCATTTTTGTAAAAAAAACAAAAAAATCGCAAAATTTGTGGTGGGGGTAAATTATCAATTCTTTTTTTATATAAATAAAATTGGAAAACTTTAAGGTCGGAGTAATAAAGTATGAGAGCACTACTTGTCAAATTCTAAACATTTCCTTTTTCATTTTTTTTCATTTCCATTAAAAGAGTTCCACTTTCTATTAAAAATACACTTTTACCCTTACTTTTTCACATCCTACATATCACATCATACATTTTTTTCTAATACTCCGTAATATATTAATCACATCTTACTTTTACCATCACATCAAGAGCAAAATTGGAAATCAATTACTCCGTACAATTTAACACTTCCTTATTTTTACACTTGGTCAAAATTGGAACTCTTTTACACTATCCCGCCTATATTTGTCTTATTTCTATTTACGATGTTTGATTGAAACTTTTTTTTATAGAATTGATCTAAATGCTTGAGTAGAATTAAAAATTAACAATTATTCGTTCTATCCCAAAAAATATTTTTACATTTTGATATTTTGGTCAAATTTACATGTTTTGACCATTAATATATACGTAGTACTTCGCATAATTTTATATAAATTTAATTTTTAAAAAATTTGATATATCAAAACAACATGTTATAATGAATTCTATTTTCATCTTTCATCCGTTTCAAAAAACACCTTCTCTTTTCCTAATAAAAAGTCACTTTTAACCCTATTAATTCTTAATCTACCTATCACATCACTCTTTTTCTCCATTAATCTACTCATTCCATTTTATTTTATCCATCACATCAAAGGCATTTTTGAAAGCCAATACCAAAATATACTCATCTTAGATCCTTTAAAAATCAAAATGGGGAGTTTTTTAAGGGACGGAAGGAGTATTAAATTTACAATATTACGAAGTATATATTTTCACAACTTTACACTCAAAGTTTATAGAAAGTTGACCGAAAAAGTCAACAAGTGAAAATATTTTTTTGGACAGTGGCAGGCAGTGCTATATATCTAAAATAATCCATATAAAAAAATCTACAAACTAAAAGTGACATGATTATATTATTGGGAAATTTGCCTATATAATACTAAAACATAATTAGTTTATTAATGTAATACCATATGTTTTTATTTTCCATTGTAGTTTTATTGTTCAATATCCATTGAACATTGTTCAAGTAAATGTCTCCCATCATTTAACATTATTTAAAGTTAATGTCGACCGCAAGTGGACATTATTCTCGCGATTGAAAACTATTCAAGTACTATTTAGCAAATAAAAAGTTTTTGGTACTAAATTGAGAAAAATATCTATTTTAGTACTCCTACTAATTCTTAACTTGCATATCATTTGATACCTTTTTACTAATAATTCACACATGACATCTTACTTTTGTTCATTATATCAAGAGTATTTTTAGAAAGTTAACATAAAAATATCTCTCAAGGAACCAATTCAACCAAAAGCTCAAACTTGTGATTGCGGCCCAATAACGATTTTTATATACTCAAACACGCCCCCTCACGTGCAGGTCTGACTTCTTTGAGCTTTGCATGTGAAACCTTAATTTTTTAAAAACTGGATGAGTTAAGTTTCAAATTTCTGACCACTTGGTTATCAAGGCTCTGATACGATGCCAAGAAACGAATTCAACGAAAAGCTCAACTTTGTAATTTTGACCCAAAAATGATTCTTATATACTCTAATAATATCTCAAAACAAAAATATCATTTTGAGACGGAAGATACAAATGATGGGTGAAGCTAAGTAGAGTACGGAGTAACAATAATAATAATGACAAGTGCGGATTCAACTGACGTACAACATGTGTGTGTGTGTGAATGGGGATATATATGCAGGGAATAAACAAGTTAATGGCGCAACGGAATTATTACTGCCGTAATAATAACGGCGTCAGGAGGAGAGTGGGAGTGGGGTGGTGGTGGTCAGAGAGTAGTACTCCACTAGCCACTGAAAGCAACACCATTATTGAAGGGATGAGCAAAGAGGCTTGCCGCCGTTACACTCCGGCGGAGAAGCGCCAGAGGATCGACAGGTATCGCTTCAAGAGGAACCTCAGAAACTTCAACAAGAAGATCAAGGTACGCACGTACGTAACATACATAGGTTTTTTTTAATATGGAGTATATATGTACTCCTTACGTCCCCAGTTTTTGTTCACTTTTGACTTTTGGAATTGTTCATCTAAGCACTTTGACTCATCAAATTCTCTCAATGTGTAAGCCTAAATATAGTTTTGATTTGTCTTAACATATAGATTATTAATATATATTTTCTATAATTTTTTAATATACAAATTACAAGATAAAATGGATTAAAGAAGTGCATTAGATGGTGTGCAAAAATGAAAATGGACAAAAACTGGGGGACGGAGGGAGTATGTTTTTTTGGGGGGTTTTCTAATCTCTCTGACTTTTTCTAGTCAGCACATTTGATTTTTTACGGTTTTTGTCCAATGTAATATTTTAACCATTAGTATCTTTATTCATAAATAAATATAATAAAAATGTAGAATTTCAAAACTATATTTCGAAATTAATATATTAATATTAAATTTACATCATAATGTAATGTATTTTTTCTTAATATATAAACAAAGTTTAAAAATATTGACCTCAAAAGTCAAACTCGAAAGAGATATACGTAGAATATATAGAAATCACCGTCCCTAAATAGAACTAAAACATAGAGAAAAGTATCAAAATAAAATTTTTATGTTTTTTTCTGGAAGTTAGTGCACATTTTCATTGTTAGAGTATACAAAAATTTTTGTGTACTCTAACAAATGTATATTTGAAGTTAATTAAAATGTAGAGTGATTTTTTAATACAAATAGAACAAATGTATATTTGAAAAAAGAAAGAAGAAAGGAGAAAGGATTTTAAAGACGGAGAGAGTATGATATATATATATATATATATATATATATATATATATATATATCTTTGTGTGTGTGTGTGTGTATATATATATTCCCACCGTCCACAAATAAACTTTACATTACGCGTTACGATGTTTGACTGAAGTTATTTTCAAATCATTTTATATGAAAAATGGTGTTGAATTGAAAAATAAAAATTACATATTAAAAACTATATCAAAAGATCTACAAAACTAGAGGTGACATGACTATATTATTTTATCAAATGGGTGACGAAAATAGGCCAACAAAGTGAATAAAGTTTGACCCTGTGAATAGTGAACGTAAAGTTTATTTGTGGATGGAGGGAGTATATATATATATATATATATATATATATATATATATATATATATATATATATATATATATATATATATATATATATATATATATTGGTTCTTCTGAGAATGCGATCTTATGAAAGAAATAAGAATGAATATGGTGCTTTAGATTGTGAGATCTAAGGGTCAGGATTACATCAAAATTAGGTGCACCAAAATGGTTTGAAAATGCGTCATGTCTAAATGCACCAAAATGCTTTGAATATGCACTATCTCAAAGTCTGAGTGCAAGATGCAATCTGAGCCGCATGATGCATCAGATCCAAAGGCTAGATTTTTTTATTCTTATTTCTTTCACCAAGGTGCATTCTCACCTGAACCGGCCTTTATATATATATATATATATATATATATATATATATATATATATATATATATATATATATATATATATATATATATATATATATATATCTTTCAATACTTTTATATGGAATAACAAAATAAATTTCATAATTAATGTCAAAATATAGTATTAAAAAGTATTGTAAAATACCAACAGAATATAAAATTGTGACATTTCACAGTACCAAAACTACTAATTAGCATTAGTAAGATATATGACTATTAGGGTATCTTGTTAGAATAAAATATAGGTTATATTCAGCTTTTGATTGAGTTAGTTTCTTGATAAGAAATAATACCAGAGTCTTCTTAACTAAGGGTCGCGAGTTTGAAAACAAATTAATCTTTCACGCTACTTTCACGTGCAATGTTCAAAACAATCACGCCTGCACATGTAAAACTATTTAAAAACAAATTTATCTAAATAGAAGTAAAACATCACACTTTTACCAAATTAGCACTAAACGACGCTTCCTCTTAATTATAAAAGTGAAATTTGTATTAAATAGGACTAAAACGTCATAAGTCATTTCTCAATGTAGGATTTAATTTTTTTATTTCCTAATAGTAGTTAATAATGTCTAGTGGGAGAAATAATGTCTAGTGATAGTGAACATTTACCTGGATAATGATTAATGAATAATGGCCAATGGTCCTACAGTGAGAAAATAAAAATATATGGTTCTATATTAAGTTAGTCATTATGTTTTAGTTCTATTTAGGTACATTCCTCTTTTAAAAATGTGTTTTAAAAATATTTCTTCTATTCTAAAATTATCTTTCATTC